TCAAGGAAGCTGCAAAATGAAACCTATTTTCATAATAATTCTAAGATATTATTTGCCTTTTCCACATTGATGTACAAAAGCAATGGTAGGTAAAACTGCAGGTGACTTAACACAGATCAAACAATAGCACTAAACAGAACTAACAGTCATTGAATTATTCACTCCCATACATCCTCACTACAAATTTTCCAATTTCACTCAAGATTGTATCTTGACGAAGCAGTAAAAGTTATTAATTTTAGTCAGTTTCAACCCTTGAATGCATGTCTTTGTAATATCCTGTGTGACAAAATAGGGAGTTTGCATAAAGCATTTCTGCTAAATACTGAAGTACAGGGGACTGCTTGGAGAAAAGCATTTGTGAGATTGTATGAGTTGCAAACGGAACCAGCCGCTTCCTTGTACGTGATTCTTGGTGTGCAAATGCAGAGACTCTTGGTTTGGGATGGAATTTCTAGGTCATAGAGTATGTGGATGTTCAACTTCATGAGAAAATATCAAACTGTTCTCCAAAGGAATTATTACACCTTGACAGTTTTTTGGCCAAATGAAATGGTCTTTCATTTCGGTCTTGGTTTTTGTTTTCCTAATCATTAATGTGGCTGAGTGTTCATTGGCCACACAGATTGCCTGCCACTGCTAATTTTGAATCAGCCTAGTCAGCTAATGTCACAGAATACATCAACATGAGCACAGGTGGTACTAGCCAGGGATGGGAGAGGTGGTTTAGTGTGACCGTATTTAACATGTTATAAGATGCCATCAGTTATAAGATGCAGCATCAGCTTAATACAGATTTACTGGAAAAAAAATCATATCAAATTAAACACTTTTTTAAAAACAAACGATACTGTACTGTATCAGTCCATTTTCACACTGCTATAAAGAACTGCCTGAGACTGGGTAACTTATAAAGGAAAGTGGTTTAATTGACTCACAGTTCTGCGGGAAACTTACAATTGTGGCAGAAGGCGAAGGGGAAGCAAAGCATGTCAGGCATGTCGTACATGGCAGCAGGAAGGAGACAGCACGTGGGGGAAACTGCCACTTTAAAAACCATCAGATCTCTGAGAACTCCGCCACTATCATGAGAACAGCATGGGGAAACTGCCTCCACGATCCGATCACCTCCCACCACGTCCCTCCCCCGAAACGTGGGGGTTACAATTCAAGATGAGATTTTGGTGGGGACACAGAGCCAAACCATATCATGCACATTTATCTATATAATCATACAGCATTTTCTTCTTTAATATCACCATCAATTCTAAATTTCCTTCACATTTACAGTCTGAAGACTTCCCAGTTGAGGCAAATACTGTCATAGAAATGTAGACTTATGGAACCTGTACCCGTGAACTCGACCCCCTGAGTAGACTTAGCAGAGACAGTTAATATGCCAGGTTTTACATGCATTTCTTATTTGGTTAAACTCATGGTTTCATTTTCTCTGCAATTGAATCACACGTCACTGGAAATTTGAAAGTCACCCAGATACTTTTGACAGATGAATGTGCAGTATCTAGTGATAATCTTTCACAGGGCACAAATTAACCACAGAAGCCTCTCCCAGCTCTCAATTCCACAATCTCCTTGGAAAGATTTAGCTAAGTTTTCATAGCTCAGTGATGACAACCATGTCACAACTCCCTCCTCTATTTGCTGCTAGTAAATTTGGGTTGACATCAATTAAAAGACACAACTGAATTTCAGAAACGTTCAGAAGTGAAAGAGTGTACATCTTATTTTTCCTCTAATTATCTAGTAATTAAGTTTTAAATGTGTGTGTGTATATATATATATGTGCATATATATATATATATATAGGTGAGTGTGTGTGCATGCATGTGTGTGTGTGTAGCCAACATTTATTAAGCATCTACCAGGTGATAACTTCCATGACTCCATGTCAGGGACTCTCCCTTTATTATTGCTAATCTTTACAGTAATTTTATGAGGTAGATAACATCCTCATTTTAAAGGAAACTGAGGTTCAAAGGGTCAAGATAACTTGACCAAGACTCATAAGCTGCAGAATCAGAATTCAAATCTAGGTCTATCTAACTTCAAGGCCCATAAACTTTCTCCCACATTATGAATCTCTTTTTTAGTTACAAAACTCCATGGGCCCCTACTAGGTAAGACCTCGAATGAATTATTGCCAATTCTGCCTGTTATGTCTCTGAGGTTGGATGCCTCCCTTTAGGAAGGGGTTACTGGCAGGGACAATGGAGAGATTTACAAGAGAGTTGAGCAATGTTAAAAATAACAACAAGGTATTTGCTCCTAATCCCGTTAAGCTCCCTTGAGCTCTGCACAAGCCGAGAAGGGGAGGGCATGTTAATTTGCTTGCGCACAGGTGCGTCTAAGGTTGCTGTTACAACCTCCTACATCTTGCAACCTCAGCCAGGGCTTGCTGTCACTTTTTCGAGTGTTCTTGGGTGCAAAACCCTAATGTGTTGTTATGATAAACAATCATAAAACTGATGTGCTAATGTCAATAAGGAGGCTCAGTTTCGGCCCTGGAAATGTACTTCTTTTCATTAAGAGTGTCCTGGCCAGGCACAGTGGCTCACACCTTTAATCCCAGCACTTTGGGAGGCCACAGCAGGTGAATCACGAGGTCAAGAGATCAAGACCATCCTGGCCAACATGGTGAAACCCCATCTCTACTAAAAATACAAAAATTAGCTGGACCTGGTGGCACGCACATGTAGTCCCAGCTACTCAGGAGGCTGAGGCAGGAGAATCACTTGAACCCAGTAGATGGATGTTGCAGTGAGCTGAGATAGTGCCACTGCACTCCAGCCTGGGGACAGAGTGAGACTCCCCCTCAAAAAAGAAAAAAAAAAAAAAGAGTGATGCGTGGTGGTGCTGAATCAGACTCAATGGTTTATATTTCTGCCAGTCTCCAAATTACACACAGGTCCATTTGGAGCTCCTACAGACCTGAAGAGACCTGAGGGGCGGGGGGAGGGTTCTCTAACATCAGCTACAACAACCCCTAGGCGATCTTGGACAAGTAAAAACTTACACAGACCTTGCTGAAGGAGAGTGTTCCTTCATCATCCTCAAATGCATGGCTTAGTTTGGCCAGTCACGAACTTTTCATCACCAAAAACCCCATTCTATAAATTTTCCTGCTGGGCCTCTTCCTATGAAATATTTTTATCCACCAACTTGCATGTTGGCTTTAAAAAAATTCTCTATGAATTAGATATAATCAGCAGAAAATAAATTCCAGCCAAAAGGAAAAGAACATGAGATTTTACTCAGTCTGCCAAGAGAACCTTATCTCAGGTAAAACATGATTTTCCTTAAGCTTTTTCTTGAAATGTGAAAAATAACTCCATAGTTCCACTCACTACCTTTTCAGATAAATCCTCAGGGGTCCACTGACCTGGATTTGAAACCACCGGTTTGATTTTCTCAACACAGTTAACTTTGTGGTTGACCTCGGGACGAATCGCCACTCACTTTCCACTCCTGCCTTTGGATCAAGCCCATCTACACAGAAAACAAGGTACTATAGTTCTTCAATCCAGAGATACCCTATTAGACTTTTTCACCGAACTTTTCCCTCCCACCAGTAATGTGTGAGAGCTGTGGTTGCTCTCCATCTTCACCAGGACTTGATATTATCATCTAAAAAAAATTGTTTTAGCCATTCTAATAGGTGTGTAATGGTTTTATTTTACATTTTCCTAATAACTAATGAAGCTGAGGATATTGTCTATGCTTAATTGCCATCTATATATGTTCTTTGGTGAGCTGCCTGTACAAATCTGTTATCCGTGTTTTTAGTTAGGTTGTTTGTTACTGAGTTTTGAGGGTTCTTTATATATTCTGAATTTAAGTTATTTGTCAAATATGTCCTTTGCAAATACGTTATCCTAGTCTGTGGCTTGTCTTTTCATTTCCTTAGCAGTGTCATTTACAGAGCAAGTGGCTTTTTGATGAACTCTGATTCATCAATTTTTCTTTTATGGATTGTGCTTTTGATATTGTTGTATCTAAGAAATTTTTGCCTAACTCAACATCACAAAGATTTTCTCTCCTAAGCTTTCTTCCAATAGTTTTATTGTTTTAGGTTTGACATTTAGGTCTATGATGCATTTTAATTTTTGTACAAGGTACAAAATTAGGTACCTAGGGTATGGGTCAAGGGTCAAGATTTTTTGTTGTTACTTGTGCATATGGATATCCCATTATCCCAGCACAATATGTTGAAAAGACTATCCTTTCTTCATTGATTTACCATTACATCTTTGTCAATTGACCACACTTGCGTGGGTCTATGGCTAGGCTTTCTTCTCATTCCATTCACGCATACCACTCTGTCTCGATTTGTATAGGAGACGCCTATAGATGCCACCCCAAAATATGCCACTTTGGCATGAGGACTGTTCTGAGCCGAAGGCAACTGAGAAAGAGCAGATACAAGAAAAGCTCTCTGCCCTCCCCTAAAATGTGCCTAAAACCCTAAAAGCAGGACGTAAGTTTATGAGGTGTCTCTCCTCCCCTCTCTAGCAAGAAAGATAAAGGTTGATTATTGAGGATAACTTTAAATCCTTATCAGTCTGAAGATGGCACCAGGGGAATCTACATAACAAACTCCCATTTATTTGCCTATGAGATAAATATTGTTAACCTCATTTTGCAAGTGAAGAAACTAAGACTCAAAGAATTTAAGAAATTTGTCTAAAATAACACAGCTTATCCTTCCCAGACATTGAATCTAAATCCATTATTTCTTATCTCCAAAGTCCAGGTTCTTCCCACTGCCCTAGACTGCCTGTGATCCAAATCATTTTTAGCAGATATCAGTCTTGCCTATGGATGGGAGACTTCTGGGGAAGCTGCTAAAAATTCAGGCTACTAGAGTTCCCCCCACACCAACTAAATCTGAATCTCTGGGACTGGTACCTAGGCCTGGGTATTTTTCAAAAGCTCCCCATTTGATGCTGAGCAATGGTCGGGGTTGAGAACACTGGACTTACCGCTTTCCAAAAGAAGGGTCCTCCTGCCCTCACAGCACAATGATCCGAGATGCCTGTTCCTTGGATTTGGAAGCAGTGAGCAATGAATGCTTTGCAGGAGGCAACTGCTCCATCTGCTTTAGGCCTGGGAGGCTCAGGGCTATAAAAGGCAAAGCTTTCTCCTTCATTTATTAAATGCTAGTAAATCCAAGGAGTGTGTCATGGTATTTTAGCATCAACTTATCACACATGTTTGTGCTGGCTTACGGTTGCAAGCCTGATGAAAAACAGGTGTGACTCCTCAAAGCTGCTGTTAAGGACTTAATGGGTTACAAAAGGATGCTAATAAAAATGTTTGATGAGAGGAATGTTGCCATTTCAGAGGATATGGTGGGACTCTCATTTCTTAGAGGGATTTGGCCTTCGGGGGCATATTTCAAAGCAGAAAGCAAAGTTCCTTGCATCACCGTGGGAGGCAATAGCATCCTGGAGATGTGCTGCCTGGAGGAGTCCAGTGACTGAGACAGGGAACCTGCTCACTAAAAAGGCAGATTAAGGTCCCAGCCTCTGTTATTGGCAGGACAAAATGATCGCATTTTTAGGCTAGATCTTACTAAAGCTTCAGGATGTCCTTAGAAGTTGTCCTACCCCAGATGCGATATCTAATCTGGGTAATATTTCTTTGCGTGAAATGTCCCTATAACATGAACCATATTGTTGCTGTAATGATTTTAAGCTTAATGTTTCCCTTTATGAAGTTAAAATCCACATCTTGAAAATTTAGAAGATGCAGAACAGTAGTCCAACAAGAGTTTTGCATGACTAGTACCACGTTAGAACTTGACATACATCACCTTATTTAATCCTTGCAAGAACTCTCATGGGGAGAAGCCTTATTTGTTTTCAGATGAAGACACTGAGGCTTAATGACATACAATGGTTTGCTCAGAGCTCCCAGGGAAGCAGGTGGCCTGACTCCAAAGCTCATTCTCATCCCCCAGCCTGAGTACATTTTGGAGTATTTCCTTATATCCTTTCTTTTGTTAAGCATTTTTATTTTTGATGTGATGTTTGGATTCCAGTTTTTTCTTTTTGAGATGGGGGTCTCTCTATGTTGCTCAGGCTAGTCTTGAACTCCTGGGCTACAGGAATCCTCCTGCCTCAGTCCCCCGAGAAGCTGGGATTACAGGCATAAACCACTTCACCCAGCCTCTGGATTCCGTATTTTCGAGCATATCAAAAATCCAGTTTTGCTTCCAGCTTTTTTTTTTTTTTTTTTGTAACTTGCGAAAGTTGTCAGAATCAAAGTGGAGTCACTTGTATTAAAAATCCTGACAAATACAACCGGGAAGACCATGAAGAAGGGTTCTCATGCACAAATGCCTGATAACAAGAACTATCACAAAAGACTGCAAAAATCACAGCCTCGCTCAAAGACCATCACAACCTTACACAAAAACACTTCCGGGAGGACAACTGCCCAGCAACTGCCTGTGCAACCTGGGAATGACACCACCTTTGTTATTGGTCTTCGTAGGCAAGGATAATTATCTCAAAACAATTACGTCATCCTCCTCATTTTTCCTTTAAAAACCTTTGTCTTCCTTTACCTCTGTGAATGTCGCACAGTTTACTATGGGAAGCATATTCCATTGCAATACCTGTTCCCGAATTTCCTCTCAGGGTCTGTTATTTAGGCTGACAAACTTGTGAACAGAAGTCGTTTTCCATTTAGTTTTTAGCCTTTGAGCATTCATTTGCCAGACGACACATGCTCTGAACACCAGGCTTTCAGGGGAGTTCCTCCCAGGTAAAGTTTGTCTTGGCAAACTTGTCTGTTGATGAAACTTGGTTCAAAGAGCAAATCACTCTCATGAAAGGGAATCTGGTACTGGGGGAGAAGTTGGGATGGCAGAGTCAAGGGAAGTCAAGATCTCTCCTTTCCCACCACACATAGATAAAAGCCTATATATTTTATATATATATACACACACATATATTTACATATATACACATATATATACGTATACCTACACATATATACATGTACCTACACATATATACGTGTGTGTGTATATATATATAGATATATATATATTTTTTTGAGACAAAGTCTCACTCTGTCGCCCAGCCTGGAGTGCAGTGGCGCAATCTCGACTCACTGCAACCTTCACTTCCTGGGTTCAAGAGTTTCTCCTGCCTCATCCTCCCTAGTAGCTGGGATTACAGGCCTGAGCCACCATGCCCGGTTAATTTTTGTATTTTTAGTAAAGACGGGGTTTCACCATGTCGGCCAGGCTGGTCTTGAACTCCTGACCTCAGGTGATCTGCCCACCTCAGCCTCCCAAAGTGCGGGGATTATAGGTGTCAGCCACCATGCCCAGCCACAAGCCAAAGTATTTTTTAGCAAACCCCCATTCTGATTGCTCATAGGAAGGGAAGCTTTTAAGAAATAATCTTTTTTTGAGACAGGATGACATAGGAAATAAAAAGAACGCTCTTTCCACAGTGATGTGTAAACCCAGGGGGAGCTGAGGGTCTGCACTGGGTTGCTGGAAGGAATGCCCCCACCCTTCCTCCACCCTGTGGACTGAGCAGGCCAAGCCTGTGGGAAGCAGAGCAAACAAGACAGATGGAGACGGGGCTGCGAGAGACAATGGCAGGGCTGCAGTAGGCCAGGCAGGCTTGGGGATCTAGCCGCAAGGGCAAGAGCAGAGACCATGTTTGTCTTCGAACTCTACACAGCTATGAAAATTCAGGACATTTCCTGAGCCCACATAGTAGAGGCTGGCTAATCTCTTTCATAACCTCTGTTTCAGGTTAAAGGGACAAAACCCACTTTCACATCTTTCTGGCTAAGGTCTTGCCTTGGCTTTCTTTGCTTCACAATAGAGTCATTGACCCATGGTGGAGTCTGTGGGTGGGACCACAAACAGGAACATTCACACGACAGAACAAACATTTCTCCAAGCAAACTAGGATCCCTACGCTTTCAACTTAAGGGTTTGCTGATGAGTGACCAGGACTTCGGGGGTGATTAGCCCCAATCCTCCACCAAATGACTGTGTTTGCTTCCTTTCATATTTTGACCCCGTGCTTTTTGGCTAAAGTATAAAAGAAGAGAAATCTGAAATGTGTTCTTGAACGTTCAAAGCTCCAATTCCTGCAGAAGAGAATTTAAAACAAACCCCCCCTTCGACTCTCGGCAGGAGTGGACAGCAATATCTCCGCTTAGAAATCTGCAGGTGAAGGACGGGCCGAGCCAGAGGAAATCTGTTTCTCATTAGAATTCTTGGCGGAGCATTTTGAGGCGCATCTGGAAAAGAAATGAGGAGAAGGACTGCCAGTGAGGTTTGTTTAATAAGCACCTTTCTCCCCTCACACGTCTGCTGGCTTTCCCGTCCGCAGGCCACCTGGGACCAGGTTTTCCAGTCCCTCTGCAGCCCCTGACATGTGTCTGTATATAATCTGGGTATATGGCGTATAAAGTGGAGAATCCAAATAAGGAAAACCCATTTCACTGTCATTTTTCTAAAATGTCAAATGAAATTCTCCCTCAGACACTCTCCCTTTCACAGATGCGGTGGATATGAAGGGGAAGAGTCCGTGATAAGGAGCCCTTTGATTAATTTGTGCAGAATGACAGTCTTCAAGGTGACATCTTAACCATGGCTTTTATCTGAGCATCACATTTGCTTGAGGTAACAGATCTTCATTTTGCAGATGGGGAAAACCAATAACAACAACAACGAAAATACAAAACCAAACCAAAGCTGAGGCCCAGAGAGAAGAGGTAACTCACACAGTTTCACAGTCACTGGGAGTCGGAGCTGAGCTGAGGAGTCTGATTCCTGTCTCCCACAGTGTGCTGTAGATCAGAGCACCCCCCAGACCCCACCACGTTCTCTTTCCTGGATGTGCCAGGTCCTAGCGTAAATGCAGCTTCCACCCAGAAACCCTCCGCGACCCAAACCCACCCTCAAGTCAGGCCTCCCTGTTGGCGCTCTATGTGCGTTTTCTTTGTGGCACTTATCTGATTTTCATCAGAGCTTTGTATGATTATTTGCTTAACCCTCTCCAGCAAGATTGTAAGCCCCCTGAGATAGAAACTGTGTCCTGTCTTATTCATCATTGTATCTACACCACCCTGCACAGTGTCTAGCCCATGACAGACCCACAAAAAAATATATTGTGAAATAAACGAATAAATGATTGAAAAATTGCCCAACATAGTAGTGAAGGCTGAACATAGACCAGCTTCCTTACTTCGTTGGTGAGTTAGCCAGTAAGGGATTTCCCAAGGAAATTTCTAGATATTCTGTTGTTTCTCATTGATATTAGATAAAAATCTTTTGCTAAACACTGAGAAACTTCCTAAGGCATGTGAGAGACTGAAAGACTATGAATTGTGCAGGATTTCTGCTTTTTGCTGGCCTAGGAGCATAAGGGATGGATAGACCAGGAGCGCCAGCAGAAGTTAGTCTGTGTCCTGTGGGTGACATCCCGCTCCCTGTGCCAGCTGTGTGTTCTAGGGGATAATCACTGCTTCCTAGGTGAGTGCATGAGGGTATGATTCAGTCTGAGTAATGGGCTAGTTCTTCCTGGCTTTGCCACCAGTCCTGCAGCCTGGGAGAGCACCAATCAAAAGGTGGTTGTGGCACACATCATCCAGTTCATATGGGGAAACTGAGGCAAGTGGGGAAGACTGTTCTTGTAGTGGCAGAGCTGGAACCAGAATCCAGGGCTCCTGCCTTTTTGTCTGCTCTTCTCCCCAGCACTGTTCAATCAATCAGCACTTGCCATGTGCTCAGTGCTGTCTATACTATGAGGTTGGTGCAAACATAATTGCAGTTTTCACTATTACTTTTGATGGCAAAACCCACAATTGCTCACCCACCTAATAGGTTCTGAAATGGATGCAAAAAGTCTTGAAAATTAAGCACACAAAAGTTAAATACACAAAATGAGCATAGAGCATGATCCCACCTTCCAGGAACTTAGTTTTGGTGGAGAGTGAAACTAAATTCTTGAAACAATGATCAATGAAAGATTGCAAGTCTAGGTCATGACAT